ATTTTACATAAAATCAAGAACATTGTGGACAACCCTGACTATCTTTTTCATCAGACTGTCATAGAAAGACAAAGTGTCTTCAGTCGGAGGCTTCTTCAACTTCACTGTAATACAGACCGCTACAAAAGATCTTTCCTGCCCACAGCCATCAGCATCTACAATAAGTTTTTAGTTAAATGAGTTACAAAAACACCTAATTTCCCTCTGGGATCAATAAAGTATTTTTTGAATTGAATTGAATTGAAATACTCAGCATGAGTGATGCTTATGCATTATTAACTGCGATGAGAGTATCACACCATTGTAAATGAGGTGGAAAATTATTCCTCCAATTACAGGGGTGATTCTGTTGTGTAAAAACCTAGCAGCTATGCCCTCTCTGTGGACTCTGGGTTTACTACAAGGGTGGCTGACAAGTTACTCAGTGGCAGCTGTGATTTAAGCCACATTTCTCTGCTGAGGACCGTCCACCATAAGAGAAGGCCCAGTATCTCGAATGAGGACATTGTGGGATGACCTGTAGTTTTAATTCTCCTTGGGATAACGTACCGTAAACAAACTGTCTCACCCTGAGAAACATACTGAGCTAGATGGGGGGAATGAACAGGGGAAAAAATGATTTGTTTCCCCTGCATGTGTGCCCTGTTTACATTGAGCGACCTTTGCAAACACAACTGACAAGCAGAAAAGAAAAACAGGATGACTGGGCAGGAGTAAAACCTCAAACAGCAGGAGATCAAGTGCTGGATTTGAGTTGCACTGGGAAGTGAGTGGGCTTTATTTATTTGACACTCTGTCCTAGGTGGGCCTAACAAGTTGCCTCAGTTTCCTGCTGGCGTTTCGGACGCACCTTCCATGACGGCATGACATGTAGACGGAGCCGTCCTCACTGCCCACCACAAAGTTGTTGACATCTCCGAGGGGGAAAGACATGGAGGTGACGGCTACAGCTTTGGACTGCTTGAACACGAGCTCCATGCTGTCCTGCGGCGGGAAGGAAACATGGAATAACATCCGTAACAAGCTCCCGATTCAGGTTTTATGCTAACACACGTCCTGCCAAGCACAACCTATAAAAATCACTTGACAGGGTTTTTTTTAAATGCATAACCTAGGTTGAACTAGCTTTCTTTAAAAAAAAAATGAAATCAGGGTTTTGGCAGCACTAGTTTAATGACACARCTGGAATAAATAATTTCTTTCAAACTGAAACAGGAGTTGCACAGGAAAATAAAAAAGGAGAAAATACTAAAGACTAGCCAAAATGCTAATGAGCATTATTACAAAAGACAGTGTGTGCTTTGTAAAATAAATATGCCCCCTACTTTAGAATATCATTTACTTTCATACTTTCAATGCAGTTCTCTGGAAATGTTACCTGTGGCTGAGAGAGCATATCCAGACTCCACGAGCACATCTTGCCATCCGTGGAAATGCTAATCAGGTTGTTGGCGTTCTGGGTGCCCACTACATTTACACAATACACTGGGTGCTGCAAAGACAACAAAGATGAAATAAAGGTGAAGCTGAATAGAAATCAGATTGAGCCCACGGGTGCTCACAGTACCGTGTGCGCTGCTGCAGACAGGGGGGTCCTTTGCACCGGGGTCCTCTTGTTGCTCCTGTTGTCCCACAGGACGATTTGGCCCGAGTACGTGCCTCCAACAACGATGTTCGGGTGGAACTTTGCGAATGACGCTGACATAACRGCAGACTGCAGGAACATAGTGGGAAGTGGTTCAACCATCAATCACATCGTATTTAATCAAACTACTGAGTCAGAGACATTCAAGTTGACAAAACATTTTTCAAAATGAGGACGAACATTTCAGTTTAATGTAAACTGACTCCAAGCGTCTGTGTTTGCATGGCAACAATCTATGAAACATATTACTGATGTTTGCCTCAGTGGTAGCAAGCGATAGCATCCGTTGACTAAATGTAAACACCTGAAACTGGAGGGAAAACGTGGCTCACACTTWGTGGTTTGATAACAGTGTTACAAACTGATGGAAAAACAAAAACAGGCTGCTGGGAGCACTCAGCGATGACGACTTCGTCGTTTGTTTTTACTGTTTCAAACATTACTGATGATCCAAGCTGTACAGCTACAGTCTCTGCAAGAAGATGTTTGTAGTTCAACAGTTTTTTTTTAGTTAAACATTTTTATTTATGAAAYGCTTCCAAATATCAGGGTATTTTGCGTTAAAAGAGTTACGTGGAAGTGGCTGCTTTATCTTTTTCTTTGTAAGAAAGGGTTTTTTTACCGTTTTTTTTACCCAGAACTCAGAGACACTTAGTATTCCTCCTACAAACACTACATTTTAATAAACAATTCCTCACCAAGACTTGTTTTTATTTTCTCAATCAAGTTGACAAGAAGCAGACAAAACGTTAATCTTTGATGGAAGAAAGAACCAGAAGTCTGACACCTACACTTCCTACAGTTAATAAAACATCTGAAATATAGTCTAAAACTGATCCAATTCATAAAAGCTGCAGCTTTACTTTGTGTCAACAACAGCGGACTTTATTTTGAAGGTACTTTTTTTGGAAATCCTAAATAAATTTGTATTTATTATAGTATTACAAAAAAGGTCCCTGATGATGAAGAAACTAATATTCAGTTCTGTTTTGTACTGAAGTGGCTAAACTTAAAAAAAAATTGTAAATACAAATCTAGGAATTAGAATACAGCCAAACAAGTATTTTGTTAAAACTTAACACGTCATCAAGTACACTTTCTCTTGCTATAAGCGTTTGAGCTAATTAGTTGATAGTGATTATGGTAACRATTACACCCTCAGTCATCACAATAACCATTTTTTTCCTAGTGAACTTTGTTGACAGAAGTCATCCAGAAGTCATGAAAAAACAAAAATACATATATTTTTGGGCCAACTTGGAGGCACAAAGAAAACTGCATTCACACTTCTGTTCAGTTTGAGTCATCTTAGCATGTGCCTACAACGACATCCGCTCTGWAGGCAACAACATGTGGTTCTACTCAACTCGTCTTTGTGAAGGAGCCTCGGGGCGAGCATTATAATAAGGCTGAGCAGAGAGGTGGCGCTCAACTGGTCTCCCAGCTAGCTTGTCTGAACACAGAGCCCTTGTTTAGATGCACATGATAACCAGCCCTGCCCCACACACTGAATCCTTCTGCAGCGCTTGGACTGCATTCAGGCCTTGCACCACAGGTCTTCTCTAGAACATGTGTTTGTGGATAAATGTGGTGGTGGAGGAAAATGCCAGTTTGGTGAACTCACCGTGTGAATGAAGGTAGGAGGGGTTTGTGGGAGCAGAAGGAATGGTTGTCGATGTTCCATGCATGTTGGAGCCAGTGAGGGAGGGGAAAAAAAGAGAAAGGGGGGAAAAGAAAGACACTGGTTTTGGTACCTGACAGTGGAAGACATACTCTGGCGTAGCTTTCTTGTACTTCATGTTCCAGACTAAAGCCACACCATCCGGCTCATGTGGCGCCTCCTCATTGTTGTTGTATGAGGCAACCAGGAGCTCAGGATACTGTTAAAAAAAGCAAATAAATAACTAAAATCTGATTGAATGGTTTTTAAGAGGAGGCAGAAAGCCCCTATGGCTCGGCTACTCTGTGTGGCACTGCTGACCTCCTTCAAGAATGAGTAATCCTCCCCTTCAAGACTCATTTAAGTCCCCTTGCCCTTTTGAGAACTTTATTTTTATTCMTTTTCACCATTTTATTAGTACTACAAAAGGTGTTGCTGTGAGCTAGAAATGCAATGGTGTTCAATCACTGTCGCATGTCGTTGCAGAATCARGAATAAAATGACCTTAGACACGAGGGGAAACAAATCATTACATCTTAAAGCTCAGTGACAATATGTGTGGGACAAACCGACTTTTCCTGAGGGAGTTTTGGCTGAAAGAAATGCTGTCAAACTCAAGTAACATAATCATAAAACATCTAAGGCGKTTAAAAAGCCAATCAGGTTTTTACATTTTAACAAGAAACAGAAGAATGCAACTGAACGAACATTTAATGGTGTTTTTACAGAGGTTTTAAAACAGAGGTTTTATTAATGAAAGAACTGTTGAAGAAAATCACCTGGGGAGACCAGTCCAAACAGGTAACAACACGATGTTTGGACCAACGTTCGTCCATGAACTGCCTGTTCAGTGAGAGCTTCGCACCAGCCTGAATTTCCCTTAACAAAAAAATAAAAAATAAAAACAGTACCGCAAATCAATTAAAAGTTCTACTTCAAATAAGAAATAATATAAAACACCAGCTGTCTATTTACTGTTACCCCTCTTTTTCCTCCAGGTCACGACCACTGTAGTCAAAGAAGACGTCGATGTGCTCGGACAGAGCGCGCTCGATGATGCGAGTGCTGTGCTCGAAGAAATTAGTGAACTCCTCAGAGTGCAGTATCTGAAGCTTTTCCTCCTCTGTGAGCTCGTGTGGGGGTGCTTGACAGAAAAACACAAACGTACTGAAATGTTGTGAAGATCCCTGCCGCCAACGGTCAATATAACACAGAAGCTTCCTCCAACACCGGAAAACACTTTGCATTCTCAAACAATTCTTAAAAGTTCAAAGAAAATTCCCAAAAATACATGGCTCAGTTAATTTGAGCTGATATTAAAGTACCTTCCTCATCCTCTTTCTGGTCCAGTTTCTCAGTCTGAGCCTCGACCACTGGTTGAGCTGCAGGAATTTCTTCCTCCTCTTCTTCCTCTATTGATCAGAAAGTAAACTCTATTAAACCACAGCTCATAAACTAAGCAAGGTTCTATCAAATACCTCTCTAGATTAACGTGTGTAGATTATACTGTTGAGTACACATTTTATCAAAGTCAGTTTCTATGCAAATTTAAATTGGATGGAAAAAAAGCAGATATAATGTTTTCCTGCAGATATTTCACACCTTTTGGCCATTTTATTTTGCTTCTTTATTATTTTCTTCTTTCAATAAAAGCTCCACCCAGTGATAATGGAGCACCACAGTGGAGTGATTCTGTATTTCAGCCTTGCATTTGTTTGGTTTGTCAGCATTATGTTTCCTTTCAAAATAAAAAAAGAACCTGCTCCTCTAAAGCAGGGAAGTTTGTCATTTGTATTAAAGGGACACAGCGCAGYGGGGGTCTTGTTGTCATAGGGACCCCTGCTTTTCCCCACTGTTAATGAGACTCCAGCCATTCAATAGAGTCTAGCTGTCAGTGTAGCGGTTTCCTGTGTGTCCCAGTTGYAGGTTGCCCCCTTCTAGGCCACAGGGCAGAGGGTGTGGAGCAGCTGCCTGGGCCCATCCTATTGGACTGGGCCAGATGACGGCCTGGTGCAAAAGCAGATGGTGATGCAGGGATTGTCTTGTGCTCTTCAGAGGTGGCACAGGGATGGCACAGAGGTTTTCCGCCTGGCCGCCCCGAGACAAGCCTCTCCCTGAACGACAAGCCTGYGCAATTACCGTCCTAGCAGGAGGTCCTGAAACTCCCATTCAACCCCGGAGAATGTACAACAGAATACAAGCCGCACCAGCTGGCACACTGCACACCGGCTCTACCTCAAAGAAGATGAACGGGATTTTTTCAAACATCTCGAAGAAATGCTATTACATGTTAAAAAAGGAGAACAAAACAAATTTTAATGTAAAGAGAAATTCTTGCTTTGTTTCCACCGGCGTTTACCATCATATGAGCCATACAGTTAATCTACGATTACAGCACCACACACCAGAATTTCCATCCTACGGAGATAATCTAAATGATAATGTCATCTGTCACTTTGTCCATAAAGTGATTTATCCTCTTTATCAGATGGAGGTTTGGGGGGCGGGGGGGTGAAGGTTATTGGGAGCACTGATGAGTTTACAGAACTGGGTTGATGACACAAGCCATTTCAATGTGCAGCCATACCCGACTCCCAACAGGAGAAGGTTAAAATCTTTCCTTTCAAGGGCCTCAATCAGGCTTAAAGGAAAACAGTAATCACTGTCTTTCAGCTAGTCCCGGCCGTGCTCGTCAGCCCTTTCCCCGGTGAGGCAGCCGGAGCAATCAACCTGCCAGGCATTAGGAGCAGACAGACAATCTGAAAATAAAGGGTATAATGCACCTGCCAGCCAAAATGGCCATTTGGAAAAAAGCTAGTGATCCTGGTGACCCCGCTGGGGATGTTCAGAYGGGGGGAGTAGTAACAAGGGTGGGTGGGTTGCATTTAACAGAATTCACCCGGATCAGCAATGTCCCATACACTGACACCTCTCTCAAAGCAAGTCCAATTATGGCTTTTGTACCACTTAAGAAATAAAAGCTTTTTTTGTGTGTGGTGGTGGTGGGAGCTGGACAGCAGGGGGATGGGGAGAGAAATGGCAAGTCCGAGTCAATAGACAATATATTCATGCGAACATGACATGTGGCAAATGATGGACAAATAGAAAACAACTTTTGCTGACTGTTGCAGATGTCTTCTGCTCTCTATACGGACCAGGCTCTGACTACAACACAAGCACAAGTCTTTTCTCTGACGCATAAAAGCTAAAAAGACAACAACAAAATCAWTAACGGTACAAACACAGGTGCACTAATGATCTCTATAAATAAATTATTTAGGCATAATATAAATCTTTTAAAATTGCAAATAAAATTCTAGACACTCAAAAAAAAACACAGAAAAATACACCAAATTCTTTGCCCAAAATCATCTTCTACTGTATAACATATTTAATAGTACTAATCATCAAGCACATAAAAGCTGACCACAATTACAAGTGGCACTTGAAACAAGAAGGCCTTTAAGGGCTTTGTGATTAAAAGTTTTGACCTACCTCCAAATTTAAATTGATTAAAACAATTAAATTCAATTAAATATTAGATCTACTGAAACGCTCAACGTACTTGTATTTCTGACGAGCCTTTTGAAATGCTGCACTAAACNCCCCCAAACATCCAACAATATCTTACTCTGTAATTACAGCCTTTTGTTGAAGACTGCATACTGATGCAGTCTGGGATTACTGTAGCAGTGGCACATTCACTAAGCCGAGGATGTAAAACAACACTTTCAAACTCCACTCAGAYTGAGGAGTCCAACTGTAGCACCTTGTATTGAACGGATGATTCAAAATAATGCCATAGAAAGACTTTTCTAAAAAATGACTTTGGAAATCTAAATTCAGTCAATATATTTATCTTTTAAAAACGGACAAAYACACTGGAAAGTTGGGCCAATATATGTCAACTTCAACGGACAATAACAGGGCAARAGTTTAGATATTTTACTACCCCTACTCAGAAACGTCATCAAGGCAGAGGAGATGCATGTTTGAGACTGTGGGGCTACTGGTGCTAACCACCTCCATCTTGACTGGGGATGTCAGGTTATTTCTAACTATTGGGCACAGATTTGTGAACATGTTAATAATGTATTTGGTGCAAATATTTGGTGCAAAAATTCCTCTTAAATGTGAAATATGGTATTTATGTTATGTACCTACAACAAATTGGAATAACACTGATAAAAAGACTATTAGGTATGTTACTTGTTGCAAGCAAGAAAGCCATCACAAGAAAATGGCTGAAAATCGAATCMCCAACCATCGAGGAGTGGATTAACATTGTACACAATATATGTCATGGAAAAAGTTATCGTTTTCCCTCAAGATGCAAAAGGACATGTTTTACAAGATCTGGACCAAATGGACTGAATATGTAAAACCTTTGATATCAGATTTTACATGACCAATACAAATTTGGATTCAAATAGTTTGGTTAGTCTTTATTGACATGCTTCCCATGTGTGTACATACAGTATGTGTATGTTTGTGCAAAATTTTGAAAACCTTTAAAAATAAAAATTACAAAAAAAATGGACAAATTCTTGAAATTACAATTTTCCAAGTAGCTGGCAGGGCATTTTAGAAAACATTTTCTGCAGGACATTACTAACACTATCAGTTCTTGGCTCTTATAACCTTGATCTCATGCTACATCCTACTTTTTGGAGCAATTGGACAACTCCTGGATGACATTATGTGATGCAAAGAAACCTAAACAGCTAAAGTCTTAAAAAACCTTTTGTAAAAGCCTACTCTTCTACACCACGGCTATATGAGTAAATTGCTAAATTAGTGAATAAATATAAAAATGAGTGCCCTAAAGAACATTTTATGAACTATAAGCCATTTTGAACCTACTGCTAGCTCCTATTACCACCAAAATAGAACATTCCCCTTGATTCCTCATTGGATGAATTTTTTTTTTTTTTTTTTTTTTTTTTTTTTTTTTTTTTTTTTTTTTTTGTGATCTTCAATCTTCTGCTCCATTTTCTGACACGTCTTGCCCACACGGTAGGAACCCTCAACCTGCAGCAGCCGGGGCATGGTAGCTGCTCCCTCTAATGCCACCGCCCGCTGACCTTGAGAGTGCTGCATCGCTTGCCGCTTTTCGACAACACGATAAATCACTCAATCAGAAAGCGGTCTCGACGCCACCCCGCGCATCAAAAATGCGGCAATGGGAGCGAGCTGGGAAGCCGTCTCATCGAGTGCCAAAAGTGATGGTGTGAAAATGCACAATGTCACTGAGTGTGTTTTGTTATGTGCCTGTTCGGTGAAGGGAGAAGACAGGGGAAGCGAAGGAGTTGATGAAATGATTACATAGTGGCAGAGAGGGGGGGAGGGTGGGGGTGCTGTGTTGAACAGCTGGCACAAACCCTCGTTGTTTAACACAGTTTTACTATACCCAGAAGAGTCCAGTGTAAGGAGCAATGAGGAGCAGGGGGATGCTCTTCATCCTTCAAAAACAACAAACAAAAATGCTTTTGACCTTACACACACTGTAGGACATGCCAGAATATTTTACAAATCAGTACACTGTTAAAAATCAAAACAAGTCTTTTAAGTGTGCTCAAAAATATGTTAACTAGTGCATTAAAAAAAGTTTAGTAGTTTTAGCACTTTATTCATCATCTGTTATTCTTCAACCAGGAACAAGAAAAGTAGCACAACCGGAAATATTTCGTTTTTTGTTTTTTTACACGTGTTCAACATGTGGACTTCTGTACGAAAACCAACTATTCTGTTCGTCCAACCACATGAAAGAACTGGTGCAGCAATTACATACATATCAGCACGCTTCAGACGCAATAAGCAGTCGAATGCACAGAGCTTCATATCTTCCGCTCCAATCGCATTTCTCCTTCCTGTCACTGGTTTTCTCATCCTGCTCGTTAATTACACCAAAGCAGAGTCGGTGGTGAGGATCAGAGGAGCAGAGCTTGTCTGAATTTAATCTTTGCCCCTGACTTCTTATGTTTCCCGAGTCTCATTTTCCATCACTTTCATCAAGGCGCTTGGTAAACCTCTTCTCCCTCCCTAAATTTTCCCAGTTATAAATATTTCTCAAGACGTGGTGTATTCTTTAAGTAACAAAATAAACAAGAGATTTTAACTGACGAAAACATTTTGCTTAGACTTGATTTGTCCACCCATCACATGTCAGTGTTTTTCAAAGTAAAAACATACAAATAAAAAAAAAACAAGAAGCAAGTCACCTTCTTTTGTCTGGGTCATGACAGGTGTCTGGGTCTCTTTTGTGTAGGACACAATTTCACGTGGTGGGAAGTCCACTAGAGTGACTTTGGCCATTCCCAGCTTTGGAGTTGCACGCCTAAAAACAGAACAACTCAAACTTTGCACAATATCAACAGGAAGCAAACAATTTGATCAAATCAAAACTCTCACCTTCAGATGGACTCTTAAGCTGATTAAAAGCGAGTCAATTACTTTCATGGTATGGTCAAGAGTTAAGATTAGTTTAACAAATGCTACATATTATTTGTAATGTTTTGTCTAACATGGAGACATCACTGCTGGTCTGAATTCACTAAAATTACTCTGATACACAAAGGTAATCATGCCATAGATTGAGAGAAGGGAAAATGACCAGGAAAGGAGAGAAGAGAGTGTCCAGTACCCCAGCTCAGAATCAGAGTGAAGTTGAAGGGTGGACGGGTCAGAGTCCCAATGCAGAGTCCTGATTAGTCAGCAACAAGGCAGCATTAGTGACAAAGACACAAGCAAGCACAAATGAGGAGAAGAGATAATGTTAGGATTATGGCACACAACATGCTGATTTAATCTGAGCTAACTGAACAAATACATTTACATGTTATCAGAACACCTAAAATATGATCCTTATGTTTTATATAAAATCAAGCTTTAATCTCTCAGATCAGACCTAGAAATGGAGCAATAAGTCTGCTTAAAATGCATGGTGGCAAATATGCTCAGAGCAGGATTAGAGGGGGTAACACGCAACCTACGGAGCTGATACGGCCCAAACTGTCACACCAAAGACTTTGTTGTGCAGCCACACAACCCTCAGGGAGAAAACATGACCTCCATGTGTGTAGGAAATGGCCATGCTGGTGAGGGAAATGAGTCAACACGTAGGGGGAACAGCTCACTCGGCCTGATGGGACACTGGGGGAGCTTGAATTTCAGCCCAGGGAAGGGGCTCTAATTAGGGGTTAAGAAGTCCCCCAGGCGTCTCAGCAGCCTGCTGTTTTACTGTTAATTTGGGATCTTTGTAATTCAGTGCCACATAAATGAAATAAACACGCACTCAGTTGGCATAAATTTGTCATCACTAGCAACAACTACTCTGAGTTTAAGCTCAGATGAATGCTTTACAGCAATCCATAACACTTGTGACGCTGCAGAAACAGTGAAGGGCACAAAAAAAGCAAAACAGCCAAGCTTCTGAAGGCAATAAAAAAAACAAAAAAAAACACAACGCATCTGCAATTTAAACTCACACTATGTAAACTTGTTTTTTTCTGACAAATAAAGGTAATTGCACATATATAGTGCATGTGTGCCTGAGTGTGTATACCTAGGTCCTGCGGCTCCATCAGAGTCCTGGCTTCCTGCTTCACTTGGCGTACCCGCTGATTTGGTAGTAGGAGATGTCGGAGGAGGAGCTGCATTAGGGACAGAGACAATTCAGTTTAAATTATTAAAACATCTGTTTGCCGCATGATAGAAGAAATGCATCAAAGTTTAGTTGTTGCAGTTGAAAGAAAGTAATTAAATCCTGCTAAGAAGTTACTACACTGACGTAGTTTTAATGAGTGTTGTATTGTGTATAAGACCCTAACCTTAGTGGCAAAGCAGATGAAATATAGCAATTAAATAACACAAGCTCAAACTACAGACATGCATAATCAAATATATCTAAATTTATTTGTAACAAAATACTAGAATGATTTGTGATTTATGTCTGCTTCAGGATCATCATCTCCTCCTGCCACAGATCATTTTGTGGATCTCTCCTGCCACCTACTGGTCATTTTGTAACAGTGCTCTGAAAAAGTCTTCTGATAGTTTCACTGTATGCTGCTTTACTACAGAAATATTTGTTGCTTCTTTCTCAGACCAAGTAATCTATTTTAAAAGACAATTATCTTTAACGATTAAAATTAAACCCTTTTATTAGTAAATGAAAATTAATTTAAAATTTATTTGTGATCCAAGTCTCTAACGTTTTATTCATGTCAGCCTGTCTGAAGCTCAGAATCTTTTTAAGCCCTTTACACCCAGATCTAAGTAGTCCTAATGAGAAGACAATTAGACTTTGTAAGTTAAAGATGTTTCCCATCTCCTTCAAAAGATTTCATATGTTGTAACAAACTACTAAACTTAACTTAATTTAACCAAAAAGTTTGAATCGCRCGTGTCCATGACACACATGATTTAAACCCACCCACCTAAGCCTGGGTCTTTATTGAACTGCTAGTGTGAATGTAAACACCCTGAGACCTGAGTCACAAAACAAATACATTTTTTTCAATGCAGGGTCTGAAATTAGAGATCAAACAGCAAATATGGTAAATRGTACTGAACTTATAGAGCGCTTTTTCCAAGTCCCTCCGGACCCCAAAGCGCTTTACACTAACAGACATTCACCCATTCACACTCACATTCACACAATGTGATGTAATTGAAATCAAACCCTCTTATTGGCAGATTGTCTAGAACACCATAAAGAGAACTTGTTGTGTTTATCTAATGATCAAGAATTTAAATACAGCCATCTTTGGCTACGTTCACACTGCAGGTCTTAATGCTCAGTTCCGATTTTTTGAAAAAATCCGATCTTTTTGTGTGAACGTTCACATTACATTTTAAATGTGACCTGCATCAGACTCCTGTGTGAACGCTACACAGCACTGATGTGACACATATGTGCAGTAAAAGACGTGACGTCTCATCAGCCGGCTTGTTTGTTTACAGAGCTAGCATGGATGCTACATATTACACATCGAATCTGAAGTTGTTGTTTAATCAGAGCCGATTAAATAATTATCTGACATGCTTGTTTAGTTCAGTGTTTATATCTGAACCTGCCTCTGACCGGGATGCTCCAGTGAAGCTTTTTTTTAAATGAAACTACGAGCTGGAAAAAAGTATCGACCGAGTAGCTAACTTTAGGATCGATACTCTCCGCGACCCAGGCTGGACATAGTTATCATACTAATGAAAAGTAAAAAGACGAAGCAACTGGACTTGTGTTTTGGAGCTGTAAACACACGGAGCTACAGATTTAAACAGCGAGACTTCAGGTTAGTGTCTTATCGATCCTTCACCCCCTCCTCACTGATGAAAAAGTCAGATGAATGTGACATGAGCGTTCACACTGCAGTCAAAGGAAAAAAAAAAATTGTATAGGTCCTCTGGATGGGTTCTTCTTTAATGAAACGTTTCGTCTCTCTTCCAAGAGACTTCTTCAGTCTGAGAGTTTCAGGCAAAATTCAGGCTTTTATGTCCTGCCTCCAGGTGACTGATACTCACATCACATGACCATCGTTCACAAGTGACTCATACTCACATCACCTGGCTATGGCTCACAGGTGACTGATACTCACATCACATGGCCATCGTTCACAGGTGACTCATACTCACATCACATGGCCATCGTTCACAGGTGACTCATACTCACATCACATGGCCATCGTTCACACCTAATTAATCCCTTTTGTTAACAGGGGGTGGAGTGATACTGCCAATGGCAACGCTGTAGCAGGGGGACAGCTGAAAACGGAGGCCTCCACCTCYGTTTAATGATGGACGGTCTTTCTTTACAAAAATGGCTTCTTTTACTCCTCTCTCAAACCAACGTTCCTCCCTATCAAGAATGAGAACATCCTCATCTCTGAAAGAGTGACCGCTGGCCTGTAAATGAGTGAAAACTGCAGAGTTCTGGCCATTAGAATTAGCTTGTCTGTGTTGGGACATTCTTTTGAACAGTGGCTGCTTTGTTTCCCCGATGTATAACTGGTCGCAGTCCTCCTGGCCGTCATTAAACAGAGGTGGGGGYCTCCGTTTTCAGCTGTCCCCCTGCTACAGCGCTGCCATTGGCAGTATCACTCCACCCCCTGTTAACAAAAGGGATTAATTAGGGTGAACGATGGCCATGTGATGTGAGTATGAGTCACCTGTGAACGATGGCCATGTGATGTGAGTATCAGTCACCTGTGAGCCATAGCCAGGTGATGTGAGTATGAGTCACCTGTGAACGATGGTCATGTGATGTGAGTATCAGTCACCTGGAGGCAGGACATAAAAGCCTGAATTTTGCCTGAAACTCTCAGACTGAAGAAGTCTCTTGGAAGAGAGACGAAACGTTTCATTAAAGAAGAACCCATCCAGAGGACCTATACAATTTTTTTTCCTTTGATTTTTTACCTGGATTACTGAGATACATCAGGACACACTGCAGTCACTTTGAAAACATCAGATATATATCCAATTTAAAACCACATACTGAAATGGCCTGGGTCGGATTTGAAAAAATCGGATTTGTCTCGTTCAGACTGTCGTAAAAAATCGGATAAGAGTCAGATGGGTCGAAAAAATTCTGATTTGGGTCGGATTTGCCTGCAGTGTGAACGTAGCCTTAGTAGCTATATCTGGTCACTCAATCCACAGGTACTCTTAAACATACCAGCTGGAACATCTGTGATGATGCCCACACTCTGCAAAAGAGCCTCAGCCTCCCGTCTTTTTTTCTCCAGGTCGGTGTCATCCTGCTGCAGTGCAGCTTCTTTTAGCTGTAGGTCAGCCTGGAAACATAGTGCACCAAAGATAAATCAAAGCGACAGACATCAACATTAAACTCAAAAACGCAAAGATGTACACTTGTCTCATAACCAGACTTTCTGATTTACAGTATACGGTCTGAACTGTGTAATTTCAAGTAAATTATAAATTAAATTGTGTAAGGTAAATTTACTTTCTTGCGCTCCTCCTCCTTCCTTCTTTTCTCCTCTCTGATTTGTGCCAACCGTTGCTTCTTCCGTTCAAGCTCTGCTTTCAGCTCACTTTTGTCAGACATGATGCCACAGCTGTGTAAAAACAACACAAACATGCTTAGCTCTATTTTTAACTGACAATCTATATTTCAGATCAACTTATGAATAAAACTACCAGACCCCTCAAGTCTTCATCAAAACTAAAATTATTAGTGTCTTTTATACTTTTTCTGTAACAGAGTGAAATAATTTGTACTTACAGATGACATATTTTTTTCCTCAGACACAAGTAGTTCAGGTGCGACTCCAAATATATCACTCAAATACAATAATTTTTTTAAATACTAAACTTTGTTTTTAAATTCTTTTCAGAATTATAAAGTACTGACCACGGTCTTCAGCCAACTTTAAAGTAGCCAAACTTTCTTGCAATATTTTAATATGACCTTAGGACACAACTCAATAATGTGATAATACAACTTATTTTTAATTGAGTCACCTACTGGTGCAATTTGTTATTTCCTAAGACGCCAGTGATAAAATTAGGTGGCTTTTGTATGCATAAATAAGTAAGTTATGTGTAAGATTCCCAAAACATTTTTATGCATAAAAATACAAAACCTGACAAGCTGTATCATACTACACTTCTCAGTATGTTAATATGCGCTGTCCAGTGAAGCTAACAGCTTACAGCTGAGCCCCACCCTTCAGCTGCTACAGTTCATCCAATCCATTCTATTTGTTTTAGAGACTTGTCTTCAGTAATTTTAAACATAGGAACTAAAGCTTGAACTATCGATAAAGTATCATCTTACCTAAACACTCTGGATTTCAAGAAATCAACCAAAGGGCCTCTGCTGCTAGTGCTAACATTAGCTTTTAATGTTTCATGATTAGCCACGGAGCTAAGTTAGCTTCACTTACTATTCAACCTAAATAATGGCAAGTGACACAATGTCATGTGTAACTTAATGTAATGCATTGTTGGTATTATGCTTATATTATGCCACATACAAATAAAAYATTTCAACGTACTTCCTAAGGCTAACTTTAGTTAGCAGCTAACCGGTTAAAACGCTGTCATACGGTTTTAACTCTGCGGAAAAGCCGAATAAAAACCTAATTCAACTACAAATATTGATGAATAAATACACAATATTAAGACAGTAAAGTTACAACAATCTTAATAATAAATCCCTCCCAGAAAGCAAACCTTGTAGCAGGTGTTCGTCCACTGGAATAAACACAAAACAGTGACTGACTRGCTACAAAACCAACTACAGGTACCGGGAAGGGCCAAAAAGTAAAATATAATAAACACTTCCTCTTTCTGCTGTACATTACAAGGCTGGACACAATAACAACAATATAAAAATTTATTACAAGATGTGGAAAAAAAMCAGCACAAAATATAAAATCCAAAGATTCAGAAAATATAATAATTTTCATGATTACAATCTGTCAATAAAGCCTATTTTAATAACATCTTTATTATGCTGTATTGGAGGTMATCATTATTTAAATAGACATGAAACAATAAATGTTGAAAAGTAATAAGCTTACAAAAGTCCTAAAAGAATTATTATAATATTACYATAGTTTTTCCTTTCAACTTTTACTCTCCATGACCAGTGTATACATTTATAATTTGTGAGGTATTGAATAAAATATTTAACCACCCCTAATTTCTTTATATTTTGTTTTTAAAGAACCAGACTTTCTTGCAATTGTTTGGTGTGATATTATCAATAGTATTTCAAGTTTTCTGATGGGTCGTTTTAAATTTCATGTTCATGTTTTTTGACTATTACATGTTGTGCAATGTGCGCTTATAGAATGAGAAATATGAACAAGTGGAGCACAAAAAAATGACAGTCTTTAAATCAACCATCGTCATCATAAACACAGAACATAAGATTAAGTTYACTGCTGATAGCTGTTTGGAAATCACCTTGTTGGGGCTAAAACACTTGGCATTTTATCTAAATCAACAAAATTAATGTTTTTGGGATATGCTGCTAGTAACAAAGGACCAACAAATCTTTATTCAATTTTTAATTTACCAATTTTTGTTGACACACCACTGATTCATCCCTTGAGTGAAGGAATGTTTCATGTCCAAATAATTCATAGGATAAACTTGAGAACATTTTTAAAAAGAGGAAAAATTGAATGAAGAAACTTCCTCTTGAAAAGGTTATTAAACTGAAAAAAGCAGCCTTCTTACATTTATCTAAGAGTCACTGTTGGTTTGGGTCAGAGGTCTGTCCTTAGAATTATAAAACCAATTTGGAATTAYTGTGACAATAACTGAACAAAAGACGAAAAGCAATTCATTTTTCAGAGGATTCTAAAAGAAATTTCTTCACAAGGCCTGGGAAAATATGTGCATTCTTGAAGATTTTAAAGGAACTTGAAAGAAACCTAACTTAAACCCAAAGCTTGCACTTTTTGTCTCAACATTTTACTCCATTTTATTTATTTTTACTGTTTTGTGCGTTTAATCACTAGAACTGTTAATACTTTTAATCAGTCAGTCTGGTTGTCTTTATCACTTCTCCTCCTGAYATCTCTGTCGCTCTCAGCTTCAGTCAGTTCAGACAAGGTCGGACCAACTTTGGCATTGTCCTCCCCTCCGGTGTTGGTATGCAGAGAATGCATTATCTGGTCACTGGGGCGTTTCCAAGATGTTCGAGTGGCGATCCAAAGGATAAGGGCTCCAAAAATCACCAGAAGGAGTCCCAGAACGTTTACAAAAACTGCCTCAGGTGGAGAGTCCTTGTACTTCRGGTCAGACCTTTATGCGAAACAAGAGAAGTTAAAACTTCCACACAACATTTTATTKTATTCCAGAACAATCCCTTTACTTTCGTCTTTACTTACAGACCAAAGATCAGTTTCTCTGTGATGCCCATGAGTGCCACAGCTATGACGCTGGTAAAGAGGAAAAGACCGCTGTAGACATGAATGGGCATACATGCTGCTCTCCAGGACACAGGTGCTGGTATCAGGTAGAGGCTAACTCCGAGAACAAGCTGCTCATTGAGAGAAAGGGGGAAAAAAAGTTTAATTACTTTACTCATCAAGAATGCAATTCACCATGACTCAGTGCTTTCAAAACAAGCAGAAAAGGTTTAAAATTTTAACATAAATTAAAAATAAACTTAAAGTCTTACTTTATATTATACGAGTGAAAAAACATTTATTTACCTGTAAACCGTACAGTACCACTGCAGTAAGGCCCAGCCAGCTGTGCAGACTGTACATGTTGGGAATTTTGGCGCTGTTGTGGAAGTCAAAAACTGCCACCATGGCAATAAYGGCAAAAGTGAAGGCTGTTATGTGCAAGCCGGCGTGGATGAACTTCATTGTTATTTTGTTGTATTTCCATGTCCAGGGAAGCCTGTAGACGATTATGGCTGCAAGACAGGATCAACTTATTTTACCTTTTCACCACTTCAACAATATTAAGTGAGATTTCTATGTTTGACAAGAACTTTAACATTTTTGATCAGCGTTTAATTTTAAGGCTACAGATCATATTTATACTTCATAATTCATATAGTATTATGCAAACGTTTTAAATCACCCCTAATTTCTTTAAACTTTGCTTTCAATAAGTCAGACTTACTTGTAAACTTTTGAAGTGAACAATTCTTACACTTTATGAAGGAATCTCAAGGTGTTTTTTTTTTTTTTTTTGTACTTTGGCTGTTTTTCCTTTTGTAACTTTGCTCTGGTTTTTTTTATATCAATGGTTAATGTGTCCTTAAAGAATTGGAAGCAGATACCAATGCACATATATTTTTTTCTACATGAAGAGCCAAAGCGACTGGAAACAGAGCTCAAACATTAAAGTTACAAACTTGCTAACCTAATGAAAATCAATGATGCAACTCAAGCTTTCAGGTGATTTGTAGCAGATTTGGCCTAGTTTGTTATTGACTGTAGACCTGCATTTCAGAYATGCATTGAATAAATCTAGGGGAAAAAAACTTTTTTCAAACTGCACCATTTGACATGGTTCAGGATAACATTTTTTTAAAGTTTGATGTTACACTTTGCTATGATGTATTAAAGGACAACTCAATGCTTTTGCACACCACTCTGGTTTAAGTCATTTGCTCTTGTGTAATTTACCCCCTTCCCCCAATATTATTTGTTTTGTTTACATTCTTTGTGCAGCCTATACTTCTCCTTTCTTTGCTGAAAGTTTTTTCTCTCTCAAATAAGTAAGTAAGTAAGTAAGTAAGTAAGTAAGTAAGTAAGTAAGTAAGTAAGTAAGTAAGTAAGTAAGTAAGTAAGTAAGTAAGTAAGTAAGTA